TTCTCCATTCTATAAAGAAAGCCCAAATAAATTTATTAATTGCACGGAGGGAGAGTGCTTAATTTGGACGCCCGGGCAAACTATACAGTGGTACCTCGGGTTAAGTACTTAATTCGTTCCAGAGGTCCGTTCTTAACCTGAAACTGTTCTTAACCTGAAACACCACTTTAGCTAATGGGACCTCCTGCTGCCGCCGGAGCACGATTTCTGTTCTCATCCTGAAGTAAAGTTCTTAACCTGAGGTAATATTTCTGGGTTAGCGGAGTCTGTAACCTGAAGCGTATGTAACCCGAAGTACCACTGTATTGTTTTTTCAGGATTTCCCATCCCCCACACACAATCAATTTTATGAAATAATAAATAAATACTAAAAGGCTTCTATGGAAGTGAGAGCTGGACCATAAAGAAGGCTGATTGCCGAAGAATGGATGCTTTTGAATTATGGTGCTGGAGGAGACTCTTGAGAGTCCCATGGACTGTAAGATGATCAAACCTCTCCATTCTGAAGGAAATCAGCCCTGAGTGCTCACTGGAAGGACAGATCCTGAAGCTGCGGCTCCAATACTTTGGCCACCTCATGAGAAGAGAAGACTCCCTGGAAAAGACCCTGATGTTGGGAAAGATGGAGAAGGGGACGACAGAGGGCGAGCTGGTTGGACAGTGTTCTCAAAGCTACCAGCATGGGTTTGACCAAACTGCGGGAGGCAGTGGAAGACAGGAGTGCCTGGCGTGCTCTGGTCCATGGGGGCACGACTAAATGACTAAACAACAACAAAAGGCTTGTTCACATATTATACTGAACACAGGTACAAGTTCTCTCTACACATGTCCAACTATATATGTTGAAGAGGCTGATTTGTACATTTCAACTACAGTGGTACCTCGCAAGACGAATGCCTCGCAAGACGTAAAACTCGCAAGATGAAAGAGTTTTTCGTTTTGTGAGTTGCTTCACAAGACGAATTTCCCTATGGGCTTGCTTCGCAAGACGAAAATGTCTTGCAAGTTTGTTTCCTTTTTCTTAAAACCGTTAATACATGCATTCCTATGGGAAACCGTGCTTCGCAAGACGAAAAATTCGCAAGACGAAAAAACTCGCAGAACGAATTAATTTTGTCTTGCGAGGCACCACTGTATTGTCTATGCAGACTGTACACTCATTGAATGTTACATGTGAATAACTACCTCTCCCCATATGAACCAACCCAGACCAAGATCAACATCGCAGGCCCTGCTTCCTGTGCCTCCTCGAGAGGTCTGGAGGGCAGCAATACAAAAAAGGGCCTTTTTTGCAGTGGCTCCTTGTATGTGTAATCCTCTCCCCAGAGAGGCTCGCCTGGTGCCTTCATTACACATCTTTAGGTGTCAGGAACAGACATACCTCTTCTCCCAGGCCTTTGGCAGATTGAACAACCTATGGTGTTTTAAAATGTGGATCGGTGGAAATTATTGCTTTGTTTATTATGTACTGTTGTGTTTTTATTGTGAAAACTGCACTGCGATCCTTGTATGAAGGGCGGTATATAAATTTCACAGACAAATAACTAGAATATTTTAGTATACAGCCCAACTGTTTGTACATTCATTGAATGTAATGTGTGACACCAATCTTAAATTTGTTTCCTTATGCTTGTTTAGGGCTGGGCAGTGGACAACAGTCTGCAGTGAACCAGAAGTCCTGGAAAGAAGCCAATAGTCAAGGCTGAAGAACAACAAAGCAGACAAGAGCACACCACCGCTGAAGAAGGCCATGTTGCTCAGGCAACCCCTTCCTGTTGAGGCAGATCCAATGGCCAGCCCCAAGTGGGCGGAGTCAGTCCAGGGCCTGAAGGTCCTTCACTAAGAAGGCTGCCACCTGCAGTTCAATGCTTCACCACATGGTGGCGCTGCAGAAGATGGTGGACTCTCATTCGGAAGACCATCTGTCAGGGATTCTTTAGCTGAGATTCCTGTATTGCAGGGGGTTGGACTAGATGACCCTGGTGCTCCCTTCCGACTCTACAATTCTATGATCCCTGTGTAGGGTTGTTCACAAAGGGCTTTAGAAGAAGAGATTTCCACAATTTGAAGTTTGAAGCAGAAATGTGGGTAGAGCTGCCATATGTCTGGATTTTACTGGGATTTCAAAGGCGGAATTGATGTCCGGTGGGGATTTCCGAAATGCAGCGCTTTGTCCTGGATCTTAGGCAAGTCAATTGAAAAAAATGTGGGGTTTTTTTGGTGTCTTTGTTTTTAGAAAGCTCAATAACTTTGGGGGTTGTCTAAAAAAAACAAAACCCTCAACATTTTTTGGGGTCTTCCTAAAACAAGCTCAACAGTTTTGGGGGTGTTTTTTCACTTTTTGAAATATGGCAACCCTAAATGTGGGGGAATTAAGGCACATTCACGTCCTTACATCAGCTGATGGGCTTGTGAGAGCACACTTTGCTGGATCTAAGAAGGAAGAAGAAGTGAAGAAGAGTTTGGATTTGATATCCCGCTTTATCACTACCCTAAGGAGTCTCAAAGTGGCTAACATTCTCCTTTCCCTTCCTCCCCCACAACAAACACTCTGTGAGGTGAGTGGGGCTGAGAGACTTCAAAGAAGTGTGACTGGCCGAAGGTCACCCAGCAGCTACATGTGGAGGAGCGGGGAATCGAACCTGGTTCACCAGATTACAAGTCCACCGCTCTTAACCACTACACCACGCTGGCTTGAAGCTCCCAATGCTTCCTTAGAAATCCGGCCCTTTCCTGTCCCACACCTGACATCAAGCATGGCACAGGTGGGTGTAGCTTCCTAAAAATGGCCTGGCAAGCAAAATGAAGACACCTGGGCAGACCGTCTTGGGTACAGGCTCAGTAGCAAACACAGTGCTCAGGAGTCACGATTCAGGAGTTCAGGAGCAGACCAAGATGCTCAGGACTGGATGGAAGCGACAATGATGGCCCAACAAAAACAACCCCTCCATGTGGCCAGCAACTGGAACAGACACAGAAAGGGGCACGGCAGCAGGAAGGTGCAAACACTCCGGCAGGGGTGCTGAATTTTGCCCGCCATTGCATTTGCACCATGCTGGCCTTGCTGCCACCATGCCCCTCCTCCCCTCTCTCCTGATGTTGCAGCAACTCAACCGAATGCAGATTTGGTGAACAGCACAGCCCTGAGACGCCGCTCTGTGTGTCCATGTGGCAACAACTTTGCGTGCTCACCGACGCAAATCCAGCCGTTTCCTCTGTGCAAAAGGAAAAGAGTTTATCTTTCGCCTGAGACGCCCACTTTCCCAGGAATAAAATAAAATTCAGTCCTGGTTGAGGACGCCTCAGAGATAAGGGGCCTTCCCCACCCACCCCAACTTTTCTGGGGATGTATCTCAGGAAAAGGGACGTGGGTGGCGCTGTGGGTTAAACCACAGAGCCCAGGACTTGCCGATCAGAAGGTCAGCAGTTCAAATCCCCGCGACGGGATGAGCTCTTGTTGCTCGGTCCCAGCTCCTGCCCACCTAGCAGTTCGAAAGCACGTCAAAGTGCAAGTAGATAAATAGGTACTGCTCCAGCGGGAAGGTCAACGGCGTTTCCGTGCGCTGCTCTGGTTCGCCAGAAGCGGCTTAGTCATGCTCGCCACATGACCCGGAAGCTGTATGCCGGCTCCCTCGGCCAATAAAGCGAGATGAGCGCCGCAACCCCAGAGTCGGCCATGCCTGGACCTAACGGTCAGGGGTCCCTTTACCTTTTATATCGGGAAAAGGGACAGGTACAGCTGCCTCCTTCCTCATATCGCGTGCTCATCTCGTTGAAGTAAAAACATTACCTGAATTAATGTAAGGTATTCTTTTCTATTTTCTTCCCCTCCCTCTTATGCAATCTAATTTTTCTCCACTCTCCTCTGCATCAGTATGTTGGGCGTTGTTCGCATTTTGTATTTAATAATATAATAACAAAATTTCTTCCCTAACCCCCAGAGAGTGTTTTCTGATTACACTCCAGAGGCCACCAACCCATAAATTCACCCCTGGCTTCTCAACAGCACACAGGCAGACCTTGACAGTGGCAGTTTTCTTTGTAGATTGAGATTTTCTATACAGAACAAAGGTTTATCATTGTTTTAAGAGCTCCAGAACAGGGCAATTTCCAGTTCTTCCACCACAAATCCCTCAAGCAGTGCTTTGTGGGCTGTCTGCCTTCACAAAAGTTCTTACTGAGTCCATCAGCAACTCCTATCTACACAGCAAACGAAGCATTGAGCTCTAAACACAGGCCAGAGAAGTTTTCTCCCTGCCATGAAATCTATGCGCAAAACATGCAGCATGACTTTCTGTCGCCCTCTGTTGGTTTCTTGTGGCAGCTCCCAGGCAGAGGCATTTATCCCCATTCACACACACACACACTGAAAATATTCCTCTCTAGCTGTTGCTGATTTCATAGCCCAAGAACACTCATGTTTTGCATAAAAAGTAGGTGATGCTCATGTTAGAAATATGTAGTTTTTTCCTTCCTTTTGCTTTCTGGAGAAAGCAAGCAGCCTCTCTGCTGCAGCCATCAGCGTTCTTGTTCTGCATCCCCCATAACCGAAAACAAACGTCCTGCCAAAATTAAGGGCGTTGAAGAAGTGCAGGATAAATAAACCATCCTCTCTGTACCATCGCACAGCACAGTGTTGAACTATGGAAGTCGCTCCCACAAGACGCAGGGCTGATGGCTGCCAACGTGGGGGGCGGCTTCAAAGGAGGGCAAGGCAGATCAATGGAAGGAAAAGCTGTGCTTCACTCAGGCCTTCAATGGAGGGAAAAGCTGTGTTTTACTCAGGCCTTCAATGGAGGGAAAAGCTGTGTTTTACTCAGGCCCTGCTTGTGAACTGCCTATTGGGGTATCTATTCTCCTGTGAGAACAGGAGGCTGGACTGCATGGACCACTGGCCTGATCCAGCAGGCTGCTCTTATCACAGAAGGATCATAGAATCATCAAGTCAGAAGGGACCACAACGGTCATCCAGCTCAACCCCCTGCAATGAAGGAATCTTTTGCCCCACGTGGGGCTCGAACCCATGACTCATAAGATTAAGAGCCTCATGCTTTACTGACTGAGCTATCATGTTCTTATCAAAAGTCATGCTGCAGAGGAGAACAAGGAAAAGTCAGAGTTTCCCATCCAAAATAACTACTCCATCTTTCCCTTGCAGAATATTAGCATTTCTATTCATATGGGGACAGCTATGTGCTGGTAGGGATGCGGGTGGCGCTGTGAGTTAAACCACAGAGCCTAGGGCTTGAAGATCGGAAGGTCGGCAGTTCGAATCCCCGCGACGGGGTGAGCTCCCGTTGCTCGGTCCCTGCTCCTGCCAACCTAGCAGTTCGAAAGCACGTCAAAGTCCAAGTAGATCAATAGGTACCGCTCCGGTGGGAAGGTAAATGGTGTTTCGGTGCGCTGCTCTGGTTCGCCAGAAGCGGATTAGTCATGCTGGTCACATGACCTGGAAGCTGTACGCCAGCTCCCTCGGCCAATAAAGCGAGATGAACGCAACAACCCCAGAGTCAGCCACGACTGGACCTAATGGTCAGGGGTCCCTTTACCTATGTGCTGGTAGGGGACTTACTCTTGGGCCCCATCCGCATCATGTTTTTAAAGTGGTGTTGTACCACTTTAAATTGTCATGGCTTCTCCCTCCCCCCCAAAAAAATAATAATAATGGGAACTGTAGTTTAAGGGTGCTGAGAGTTGTTAGGAGACCTCCATCCTGCCTCAATGAATCCCTCTTCCCAGGGAATTGTAGCTCTGTGAGGGGAACAGGGGTCTCCTAAGGACGCTCAGCAGCACCCTTAACAAACTACAGCTCCCAGGATTCTTTTGAGGAAGCCATGACTGTTTAAAGTGATATCACAGTGCTTTAAGTGCATGGCGCAGATGTGGCTAAAATTAAACACAGTGGAAACAGAGAGAAGGGTACAGCAATGGAAAAGGGGATAAACAGGGAAAGAATATACATTTGTTTCAGTTACACGGACTAATTAATACGTGCGGTTACAGAAGGCATAACTACAGAAACAGGCCGAGAAGTTGCTAACTCTAATAGGTTTGTGGAGGGTGTACGTGAACACACAACACACAGCATAGATCTGAATCCTACACACAGCATCATACACTCAGATCACACTTATTGTTGTTGTTATGTATTTATGTGCACTCCACCTTTTCCTCTGATAGGGATCCAAGGCAGCTTACAGATAAAAATAAGAACAACTAAAAACAGTTTAAAAACAGTTTTAAAAATGAACGTTGATAGAGCTAAAACAGTGTGTATGTGTGTGTGGTGTGTGTGTGTAGTTTTAGCTCTATCAATGTTCATATATATAAATCTGCACACACTTAAAACATCACCCACACGTTGGATATGCTGTAGTCATTTGCACACGCGGAAATCACATATTACACGTTAACAGTTTCATGTATCACACTCGAGGTTCATCTATGGCAGAATACACTGTCCATGCATCATTAAATCTTACATTTTCCTATCATGGATGTGCATGCCTTAATCCGAGTGTGCATTTGACCCACACATACACACAGAAGGATGCTCTCAAACATAGTGGCCATCCTCCTCCCTCCAGCTCACGTTTCCTTTATTGTACCCAGGAAGAACCATCCGGATTTGCAGCACCAGCCCCTCCTGTTCACTCAGACCCGAATCTCCCTGTGTCCCAGGAGAGCGCGCCAGCCTTAGGCACCTGAAAGAAGCCCCTTGGTTTCAAAGGAGATCGCTAAGCGAACGCTTAACTCTCTTCGACATCCCTCTCTCTCTCTCTCTCTCTCTCTCTCTCTCTCTCTCTCACACACACACACACACACACACACACACCCATTGCGCGATGCACGCGCGGCTACACAAAGGATGCTCTGCGCTGCCCTCACTCCCAGCTCGTCTCCCGCCCCCTTCCCAAGCTGAGCTCGGTTTCCCTAGCCAGAATTTCACGGAGGGAAAAACCACGCGCTCAGACGTGTTAGGGGGAGCCTTTCTCGCGTGGACCACCACCCTGTCCTTCCACCGTCTCCATCCCGTTACGGACGCATCTCAGTGAAAGAGCATGTGCTTTGCGCGCTAGTACAATTCCCGGTTCAGTCCTCGGTGGCGTCTCCATGTAGGGCTAAGCACGCCCGCCACCCCTCCTGCCAGTCAGTGTCGACACCACTGAACTGTTGGGTCGATGGTCTGACTCAGCACGAGGCGGCTTCCTCTGTTGCTGAGAAAGATCGGTCCACTCACCTCTTTGGTCCTGTGCAGACGGTCCTTTTTCCAGAGAGCATCCCAGGGTTAGAGGCAGGAAGAGGGGCGCGTGTGCGCGTGTCAGTGGGGGAGCGTTGCTGCGCAGGGAAACCCACTGGTGAGAGAGAGAGAGGAGGATTTTCAGTCTAGCAGCTCAGCTTTAGATTTCGCCGGGCGAGACGACAGGCTTGCTAACCTCCCTCCGCGCAACAGCAAGGCGCAACTGCGCAAAAGTGCAAAGCAATCCAAACTTTGCGCGCTTCGGACGCGTCTTTCACCCGGAGCCTAACAACGCCGGCCAATCGTCCTACGGGGTGGGACTACGGAAAGGGTGGATCTACAGATCCACGGATCCTGAGCAGAAGATCTGAGGAGGGGGCGGAGGAGCTAGACTTGGAGACCCTTCCCTCCCCCAAACCGATGAGGGGGTTGTTCTGCTTTCTGTCCGAGCAAAATATTTGAGCTGATTAATTACTGGGAAAGTGGGGTTTTTCCTTCGTTCTAACCTTGATCCCTTTTGAATCTATGGGAAGCACGTGTCTGAGAGCGGAGGGAGGAGGTGCGAGCAGCTATCCGTTTTCCCTGCCTGTACCCCCCACCCCGGGTTAAAGTTTTCAAAGTCTTGCCCTTATAAAGACTTAGCTGCAAGGAGACGTTTCTAGGCATTTCTGGGTTTTCCTCCCCTCCCTTTCTTTCTAGGCAAAGGAGACGCATCTAAGAAGGTCTGGCAGGATTTATTTGCACCGAAGAAATCGCTCAAGATGAGCATTCCCTCTCCTGGGAGGGGCCACTAAAACAGAAGCGACTGCAGCTGGGTTAGAGGATAGGGGTAACAAAACGGAAGAACCACAACCTGGGCAGGTAACAACAGGTGCTTCCCCGGGGACTCCTCGCAGTAACAGATTCCACTCCGTGAAAGAGAGCTAGGCTTTCAAACTATTGGGGTTGCCTTTAGAAACATCCTAGAAACATTAGGATCTCAGCTGTGTTCTTAACTAGAAGGGGGCATTTTGATCCTGTTGTTGTTTATTGATTTCACACATCGCTGTACAGTGGTACCTCGGGTTAAGTACTTAATTCGTTCCAGAGGTCCGTACTTAACCTGAAACTGTTCTTAACCTGAAGCACCTGAAGAACAATAGAAGTCGAAGCTGGGTCCAAGGCAGGGAGTCGGGCGAGGTCAGGAGCTCCAGCAGGAAAGCAGGGCAGGGATCAGGCTGGAACTGACAACCAACGATGTTGCTCCCACAACTTGGGACTGGGGCTGGCTGGCTTTTATCTCCCCCGAGGCATAGGGCGGCCCCGGTCCACAGGTGACTTGCCTCTCCTGGCCTGGAGGCGAGCATTCCTCCTGGGGGAACTTAGTTCCCTCTGCCTCTCTGCCCTGAACCTCTGCAGCTCAGAAGAGGCTGGAGGGTTACCGGACCCAGAGGCAACCTCCTCTTCCCCTGACGGGGCTGAGAGTGGAGCACTTGCAGGCAATGGGTCCTCCCCCACCTCAGGAGCCAGAGCAGACTCAGCTGATGCCTGCACCTGAGGATCCAGCACAGGTGAGGACCCTTCAGGCTCAAGCCCCAGCCCCGGCTCAGCTGGTTCTGGAGGCAGGGAATCCTGTGCAGGCTGGGATCCCTCAGGTTCAGCATCCGAGTCCGAATCCCAGGCCATCATAGCAGGACTCTTTTGCCCAACATGGGGCTCAAACCCACAACCCTGAGATTAAGAGTCGCCTGCTCTACTGACTAAGCCACATGTTAGACATTTGTTGTCCAAGGTTTCAAAACATTACACACACACACACACACACACACACACACACACACACACAAGCTCCATGACAGAACAGCCCCAGGGAGTTTACAGTATCAACAGTAACAACAAAACAGTATCAGCTCAGCTGATATTGGGGGTTAGTTTTTATCTGGTACCAAAAAGATGTCAGTGAAGGTGCCAAGCAGACTTTGCTGGGGATGGATGATGAGGAGCCACAACTGAAAAGGCCCTTTCTGTTGTCATCACCATCCAAGCCTCCCTCAGAGGGGTGACTCAGAGAAGGGCCTCCGATTAAGTTCAAAGTGCCTGCTTAAAGCCCTAAAGAGCTTGGGACCAGGTTAGCTGAAAGATCACTTCCTCACGCATATACCTGTCTGAATCTTAAGATCCTGTATGGAAGCCTTGCTCCAGTTGCCCCACCAAAGTCAAGTGAGGCTGCCAGGGTCTTCTCAGTAGTGGCGCCCCTGTCGTCAACTAGCTTCTCTGGAAAGGATTTCCTGGTGGCCTCTTTGAGGTTCTTTCCTGTGACACCTGAAGACCCAGGCTTTTAAACTGAATTTCGAACTGACCTTGAGCTGTTGTGGCCCAACATGGTTTTAACCAGAGCTGTGTGTTGTTTGTGATGCTGTCTCAGGGCTCTTCGAGACAACCTATTTGTTGAGCATTCGTCTCAATTCACTTGCCCAAAGCTTACATGGAGGTTCGATGATGTGCAATGTTTATATGAAGAACTGGTTTTGCTTTGTCCGTGGGGAAGTTAAACATCAGTGAGCAGCCATCATGCATTCATCCTTACATGCCTTTCATTCATTCCTTCATTCATCCACACTTTTCAATGCATTTCAAACTGCAGAAGGTCCAGGTTTTGCAGATTTAAATATATATTTTTAACCAGGTTCTTTATTCCACTTCAATTGCAGAAACTTAATTTTTTGGTATGTTACTGAACCGCTCCTGCAAAATGCTGACAGTCTGGGGGCCAGTGTCTGGGAGCCAGTGTGGTGTAGTGGTTAAGAGCGGTGGACTCGTAATCTGGTGAACCGGGTTCGCGTCCCCGCTCCTCCACATGCAGCTGCTGGGTGACCTTGGGCCAGTTACACTTCTCTGAAGTCTCTCAGCCCCATTCACCCCACAGAGTGTTTATAGTGGGGGAGGAAGGGAAAGGAGAATGTTAGCCGCTTTGAGACTCCTTAAAGGGAGTGAAAGGCGGGATATCAAATCCAAACTCCACTTCTTCTTCTTCTTCTTCTTCTTCTTCTTCTTCTTCTTCTTCTTCTTCTTCCTTTGTTCCAATACAGTACAGTGGTACCTCGGGTAAAGTACTTAATTCGTTCCAGAGGTCCGTTCTTAACCTGAAACTGTTCTTAACCTGAAGCACCACTTTAGCTAATGGGGCCTCCTGCTGCCGCCGCGCCGCCGGAGCCCAATTTCTGTTCTTATCCTGAAGCTAAGTTCTTAACCTGAAGCACTATTTCTGGGTTAGCGGACTCTGTAACCTGAAGCGTATGTAACCTGAAGCGTATGTATCCTGAGGTACCACTGTATGTGCAAAGCATCATGTGCATTTAGAGAGTGATGTAAATAAGCAAACCTCTCACCTTCTGATACAGTTGTTGTCAGGGGTGGGGGACAGGTTTACTGCAAGAGATACATGCCACTCGTGCGTGACCTCAAAAATCATCTTCATTGGAGATGTATGCCTTAGACTTGGAAAGAGGGAATGCACAACTTTTAAAAAATAAATTGAAAATGAAAACCAATTCTAAAAAATAAATAAAAAGGAACAGTCCTGAAAATGATGGGTCTCTGCAATTGTGGGGGGGTGGGAGGTAACAAGGCAAATCTCACACCAGACATGCAACAGTACGTCAAGGAGCGTTGCGCCTGCTCTCCCTGACCTTTTGCCTTCTTGGCTAGAAAACAGGGTTTCCCCCCTGACCTTTGGTCCTCTCACAATTTGTTTGTTAGACATATCGCTTGGCTGGCGCATGACCGGGGATGCAGACGTAATCAAGTATCGGGGGGAAACATTACAGGGAAACACCTGCTGACACGTGTATTTGCTAATGATGGAAATGTGCGTAGATGGAAATAAGTTAAGTTCAGGGTGGTTTCACTACTGTTTCCAATTGTTGACTTCTGCTAATAAAAGGAGCCTCGGCAGAGCTGGCCGGCAGCTTGCTTGGAGCATGTTTGCCTGTGTGCTTCTGCACAGCTCACCTGCATTCAACCTCTTGTCGTCTCCGTTATTCCTACAGGGTGAAGGCAGAATCGTTGTTGTAAAGGGTACATGAGTGATCCTGCGCTCCAGCAGCAGAGCAAAGAAGGTTAATCCATCCCAGCATTCTATCCCAACATGAACTGTAGCCTTATTAGACTTTACCGATTGGTGGGCTCTGCATTGCTCCCGGACGGGAGGAAGGAAGTCAAAGGACACCGAGGGTTGGTTCAGAGAAAGAGTTCTTTATTTCTGCTCTCCGGAGCAGCAGAAAGGCACTTGCGTGGTCAATCCACAGCAAGTCCAAAGAAATGAGAGATTTCATGCAGTATATATATCCTCCAGGCACCCTCTCCCCCTTCCCAAGGAATCCAGCCACATCAGCTTGTACACGCAGGTTGACATCACAGATGTTCTTGCTCCGGTACTCTTAACCATAAAAGGGTTTTCCTTCCTGTACTTCTGACCATAATAGGGTATTCCTGTTCCTATACTCTTATCTTGGAGCAAGAGGTCACCAACTCCAAGAACACACTCTGGTGCTGTTCCTGGACTAGGTCTGTGCGTCAGAGTGTGTTCAGGATGTAAGATAAGACCCAGACGTGTCATCCCTACTCCACTGGAACAGCCAAGGTCGTCCATTGCCGTGACTGATAAAGGAGAGAGTTTTGTTTATACAGCTGTGTTCTTGTTATGCATTTGCTCAACAGCTCAAGTTAATGCATTTTCGAAATGCTCCCTTGGAGAAAGAAGAAAAGGGGGGTTTGGGGTCCCGTTTCAAACTGACTGCACAGAAACCCATTCCTTCACAACCAACTGGATGCTTCTGAAAGCTCAAATGACGCAGGGCATGAAGGTGCCAGGCTTCCCTTGCCATTTGGTCGCCAGCTCCTGGCATTTGCAAGTGGAGGTTCCATCATTAAGCTCTAGAAGTGATTATGGACTCAGGCAGAGATCTTCTGTAACATGGGCTTCCAGCTGTGGTTGTACTCAAGCCCCCATCAGGCCCCTGGCCCCCAGTCAGCATGGCCAGTGCTCACGGACAGTGGGAGTGGCACTCGGTCAGTAGAGCATGAGACTTTTAACCTCAGGGTTGTGGGGTAGAGCCTCACGTTGGGCAAAAAGTCTTCTGCATTGAAAGGGGGGTTGGAGTAGATGACCCCTGTGGTCCCTTCCAATTCTATGATTCTATAGAATTCACGGCCTAGGACCCTCGTACCTACGGGACCGCCTCTCCTAGTATGCCCCACGGAGGACCTTAAGGTCCATAAATAGCAACACCCTAGAGGTCCCGGGCCCTAAAGAAGTCAGATTAGCCTCAACCAGAGCCAGGGCCTTTTCAGTGATGGCTCTAGCCTGGTGGAAAGCTCTGTCTCATGAGACCAGGGCCCTGCAGGTTCTGATTTCTTTCCGCAGGGCCTGCAAGACAGAGTTGTTCCGCCTGGCCTTTGGCTTGGAGTCAATTTGATTCCCTCGCCCTCTTTCTTTTTCCCTTCTCCTGCATTTTAATTGTTTTAATGTTGTATTTTAATCTTGTTTTTAAGTTGTATTCATTCAACTCGTTTTTATTATTTGTTGTTAGCTGCCCTGAGCCTGGCCTTGGCTGGGGAGGGCAGGGTATAAATAAAATTTGTTGTTCTTCCTGCCTCTTTTGTCTACTCCAGGGCTGGGGGACCCTCAGGCAGGGGTCCCAAATGCCAAACCTCTCCACCTGGCCCTTGGAGTTCTCCCTCGGCCCCTCGCTGACTCTGATAAGTCTCATGCTTGCCTGGAAAGAGAAGACAGAGGGGTATGTGTGAGGATTAGACAGCTTTGTGGTCATCCTCTTGCTTATCCCTAATATCTGGTAATAAGAGAGATAGGCTCCCTATTAGGATACCTTAGCCAACCCCTTCTCCTCTCCCCGCTGCCTCGACCAAAATTGCCATTCTGCCTCTGGATTGTCTTTCCAATATTCAAAACATTGCATTCCTCGGCTGGGATGCAGTCATCCCAAAGCAAAACAGAACATTTTGTCTCTTTCTGGTAAGCCTTCCTTGCTGAAGATGTGATATTTAGGAGCTGATGAGCTGGTCGTTCACCCTGCAGTCGTTTGCTGCCAAAGGCTGTTTGCTGTGTTCGGCAACATGAGAGCATTGGGGGAAACCAGCTATGTCATGCCAGCAAGGCGAAAGGTGACCTCTGACCTTCCCTCGGGGGCTTGAACACCAGGGCAGGCTTGTCTCCCGAGATTTCAGCGATGGTGGGGTGTTTTGGGGTTTTTTAAAAGCAAATTCTAAAATAAGCCGACTTCCTTGCGTCTGCCTAAAAGCTTCTTGGCTGCTCAAGGCATGTGCCTGGAAGTGCTTCCCAATTTTTTATTTTTATTTTAAGACGGATATTAGCAAGAACATGCCGCTAGTCCTGATCGTGCAAGCGCTAATGAACCCATGTGCCAGAAGTAAGAACAGACATGGTGCAGGAACAGCGGAAACCCCCGGAGTGTTGTGACCTCGGATTCCTCTTCTTCCGGGGATGAGGCAAGGACTCAGAGGCAGGAGGGGTCAGCCCCAGAAGCACTTCTGCCAGAGGAGCCTGGGGTGCCAATGTCAGGGAAGGTCCGTAGCTTAGTGACAGATCATCTGCTTTGCATGCAGGAGGTTCCAAGTTCAATTCCCAGCATCTCCAGGTACGGCTGAGACAGACTGCCTACCTGAGATCCTGGATCCTGGAGAGCAGCTGTCAGATATGGAGCAAGATGGTCCATTAATAATAATAATAATAATAATA